CTCTCTCTCTCTCTCTCTCTCTCTCTCTCTCTCTCTCCGATTTCCATACTTTTTCCATATTTCCTTTCTGTTTCCGACGCATTTCGGCCCTCTTTTTTTTCCGTTCCTCTTCGCCCCTCTCAAGCAACGCACCTTTCCTTTCTTTTTTTTTCGTTTTCTCGCCATTCCTAGCACGCTGCGGTCCTGTCACGCGCGACGGAAAAAGTTTTCCGGCGCTTGCGATTCTCCCGATGCTATTCACGCCGCGCCGAGAGTGCATCTGAAAGGTGTCCTTACTTTTATTCGCGACGGATGCATGGATTTTCCCGCTCGGGCAATTATCCAGACAGCAACGTGTTTGGCTTGTTGCTGGCATATTGCTGTGCAAATAAGTATGTGTTGTTACTTGCAGAATTGCAGTAATTGAGTCTGCATTTATTGGCAGATTGATGCCTTCACAATACGACACATATTTGGGTAGGTAACAATTTATCAGCAACATGTCAATAATTTTAAAATCATCATTATCCAAATTCGTGCCATAATTTATAGGATCACGTAATACTCTGTTATATGTTGACAATGCGAGGTAATTTTAATGCTACTAATTTGTTGTTAAACTGCTGACACTACATGTAATACGTTGTTGCCTCGTGTTGCTACAATATGGGTATATTTGTTGAAGACAAATATAGTGCAAGTTACCAGCACCCAAGCAGTCGCAGATTTGCGCGATTTTACTGAGACACGTTTAGTTATCTGAATGGCTTTCTCGTAGCTTATCAGACAGAGTTTGCATTGTCAATTGTTTGAAATAATAGTCGAATTTAAATTAGCTACAATTAGTACCGAATATTAGACCATCATATATGTACATTTAATTGCTATTCATCAATTTTCATTAAATGTATTACAATTAAAATTTCATCATTATTCATATTTAATGTATCATGCGTTGCGCGACTATATATTGACACTACGTGGTGGCAATCAGAGAACGGTCGATATTTATTTTTGAGAACATTCTATTACAGCCGACAGAAAAGTATCATCGTTTACACCATATTGCGCAATTGGCGATAATCAATGCAGAATATTTCTCTGTCATTTATACTATCATGTCGAGATTTTAAGAGATGATTTCCATTATTGTTTTTGTTTAAAGTATCTAAACAAAAAAGAGGCACACAAAATTTTTTGAACTATTGAATAACACAGTAACAAAACAATAAGTTTGCAAAAGAACTGTGTATGATTGCCGATATATTCCTAAAGTTTTAATCAAGATTTATGATGAAGTATCGATGTTTAACGTTAAACTACATCAGTAAATAATCATTTTATTATATCTTTCCATTTGCTTTTTTACTGTTTTTATTATTTTAGAATATGTCATTTCCTTATTTATGTTTTAACGTTGATTGCGTTATCATTCCATCATAGTTTAAAAATGTTTTATCCTCGCTTTTTTCCTTAAATTCTCCGGAACTTCACAAATTTTTGAAACGTTTATCCTCTTCCGGTGTCATCGCTTTAGCCAGATCGCTTTTAATCTCTGGAGGATTTTTTTTTTTTACAAAAACAACAGGAACAACCGGTGGACTTTTCCATGCGCGAGATGTATCGTGGTCGAACTCGATAAACAATTCTCCCGTTCTCACAAATGGACAAATCATATTTGTTGCGTCATGTTTTGATTGTTTATCTACGCACATTTTTTATCTTAATATCGTACAGCGTAGTTACGCGTACGTTGATCTATAAACCAACGCACGCTGACGTATATTAATCGACCAGATTGAACGACAAGTTTCTGCATATCAGAGACTCGCTTGCATCGATATATTCTTATCATTATCAAGGCACGAAAAACAAAAACGCTAGAAGCGACGATTTTTTCCGTGCGATCGATACTAAGATTAGATCGCGTTAATTAACATCCCTTCGCGGGTCACTAATTAAACGCCTTCGTGCTCTAATTCATGTTCATATGTATATGTGCGTCAGCATGTGTATTATGTAATAACGGATTACGAAACGGGAATAAGACAGTACGTGTTATCTTTTATCCATCCCTCTCTTTTTGATTCTTTTATTTTATGTTAATTAATTTTTTTCTTTTAAATTAAAATAATCTGGTCTTTGAAATAAAACCTCTTTTTTTAACACAAGATAGTATTGTTATAAATTATTTTATTTCTGATGAATTATTAATATTTAATTATTTCAATAATACTTCAAAAAAGAAACATACATTTATATATGATACATACATCCATTTTGTGTTATTATATTTGTATGTTACATGTTATACATGTATATATATACTTGTATGTATACTATTCATAAATTATAACTTTTTATAAACGAAGTCATCATTTGTTTTACTGCTGACATTAACACGTCTTTACAATTTATTAATTTAACATTTTAATGATTTTTGCAAAATAAGATAAAAGAGAACAAATGTACATCTAGCCTAGCATATAACCTCGGTCTTTGTTTTTCAGAAAGAGTCTTCGAATTTTTATGAGCAAGGTTTCGTTAGAATTTTCATGAGGTGCGTTTGGAAATTCTATTCCGAGTAGAAAAATTTTTCCAACCACCATTCGAAAATTAACCCGAACCGTAAAGTACTGACATAACAGTTGCGTTCGAAAATATCAAGTAAAGTCATTTAAGTTCAAGAACTTTAGACTATTATTTCAACCTCTGAATTTTCTCTCAGAGGTTGACAGAGTAATTTGTCTCGCTATTTTGGCGCGAAGATAAAGTTGTACGAAAGATGGAACGAATTGAGTTTATCGTGGTATCTTTTATTAATTCAATTATGGGATGACAAACGAGCCATCATGTGTAGTAAAGGATAATCATCGTGTGTATTTAGAGTTAAGGGGATGAAGTGATCAAATTGTTGACATATTGCATGTGTCAATGTGATCGATAAAAATCTCCGAATTTATATTGAACGAAATCAAAAATCCTTTACGGAATTAAAGTAGATACAAAATTGGAAAGTGCTGCCATAGACTTTATATTAAAATCGGAAAAAAAGTTAAATATTTATTTTTTAATTCGTAGAGCTGTCACCTGACACATAGATGTTTTTAATACAAAAGTTTTATGTATATAGCTCGTAATACGGGATCTATACAATAGTGAATGATCAGTCTTAAGTAGTAGGAAATTGACCAATCATAATCGATTATTCTTCTCATAGTCAACTGCGATTAGTCAATTTCCTACGACTTAAGACTTCACGACCATCTACGACTTCTATTGTAGACTCCGCTTAATAATTAATATGGATAAAATGACGGTGCAGCACTCGACATATTATGCATAAAAAATACTGAGTTTACAGAACTAATTCATAATCGATTTTTATTTCAAGACTGTCTAAGGGGATCTTAAAATTGTCTACGTTACTGACTAAATTACATAATTCGTATAAAATGTTGTGCAATTTATTATATACTTACGAAATAATATAATATAATCTACAGATTACAGTAGTTCCCACAAAGAAATAACGATGTGAAGTTTTTAAGCCCTGTGTCTATGGTGTTAGAACTCTGTCTGAATTCTCAGACCGAGAAATGTGTAGCCAATCAACTTGCCGTTTTTTTCGTAAAAATTACATGTTGATTGACTACGCACTCATCTAAAAACTCGGACTAAATTTTAACACCGTGACACAGGTTTTCAAAATTAGACTTATGTTAAATATCTATAATTAAAACGTTATATTTATACGAAAATTTATGTATATGTGTGGCATGTGTGAGTAAGATATTCATGTAGTGTCAATGACACGTAAATCATCTGTGTGTAAGTCCTACTTAAAAATGATATCCAATGACGACGATTCACGAATGAGCTTACCATACAGAACAAAAACCTCTATTAGACGCCATTAAACATTTATTATGGAGATTTATAACTTCTATTAGATGTCCATGAAATTTCCAGTGGACATCCAGTAGACATCTAGAGTTCTGCATCTTATAAATAATACATAAAACTTCCATTAGATGTATTCATTCAGATGTTTATTAGTAAACGTTATATGAATCAATTGTAAATGTTTCATGGGATTTTGTGATATATGTGTATATATATATTATATATATAAAATAAAACGAATATACAGG